GTGTGAAGTTGAAATTATTATATTTGGACAAATAATATATTATATTATTTTTTACTTTTATACTGTTTTAATTTATTTTATATTTTGTTTGGGATAAAACACTTTTACGGTGTTTAATTTATTTTAGATTTGGTTTTGAATTATTTATTTAAATTTTTATTACTTGATTATGTAATTAGTTTTGTGAGAAATTGATTTTATTAGAAATTACAGTGATAAATTAATAAATTAAAATTAAGTTTCGGGTCATTTCGGGTCGACCCGCCAACCTGAAATTTTCGGGTTCGGGTCAGCATACCTGACCCGTCACGGGTTGGCGGGTCGGGTTCGGGTCAACAAATTTTCTGACGATTTGACCCGAACCCGACCCGCCAACCTGATTTGGACCCGAATTGCCACCCCTACTTCTCACCTCGAATTGTTAAGCATAAGATCGAAAACTTAAACTTGATACTAGGAAAGATTTTAAGAGCCCTTTCCCGATTATTAGGTGGACTCTGCTAAAAAATGCGAAGAAGAAACATTCCCATTCATTGCTTTACGAATTTTTCTGACCGCATTAATTTCTTTATAAGTAAAGTATGGTTACACGATGAAAAAGTTGGCATTAATTTACCTTTTTTTTTTTTTTTAAAACAATACGTTGAACTTGGAATAACGAGTTCTTGGTTTAGGAAAATCCTTATGTAGACTTTAACTTGTACTCAAAACTATTACCATTTCGTTTGTTGCTCTAGCGGGGGAACATTCAACAGGAGTCAAAATTCTTTAAAAATATGTGAAGTTGGGGATAAGGAATATAAAGCGAGCAGCATGATTTTGTCCTGGTCAGAGCGTGTTAGAGGAATTATTTTGTCTCTTGATGGATATGATTGCGTTGAAGGGTGACAAGAAAGACAGATGCCGTCTCTATAAGTGCCAGATTCACTGGCGCAAAAAAAGATTAGAGACTAGAAGTAAAAACAAAATTGGAGAGAGGATGAGTTGCTTTCTTTTGAGAACTCAAGTGTATTAGCTGTTTTTTGGATTAGCAATTCTAATTAATTGTTTTTAGGGTGTTTTTAAAATATTTTGCTGTAACAGTGTATATAAAAAAATTTTACTGTAAATATTTGTTTGTGATATTTTTTGAAATGTTTTTGAAATATATTTTAAGATATTTGTGGTATTTTTAAAAAATTACCACCACCACCCCCCATTGCCGCCACCCCCTTCCTTCTCATCCCTCTCTTTCTTCCTCTCCTTCCCTTTCTTTCTTCCTCCTTTTCCCTCATCCCTCTCTCTTTTCGTCCTCCATTTCTTTCCTCCTCCTCCTATCTTTTTCCTCTCTTTCTTTTCTTTCCTCCTCCATTTTCCCATCATGTCAGCCACGTGGCTAGATCACAGCCTTTGGTTGAGGCCAAATTTGGGGGGTGGGGGGTGTGAAGGGAAGGGGAAGGGAGAAGGAAAAAGGAGAATAGAGGAGATGTTGGGGGTGGTAGTGATAGATGGAAGAAGAAAATGGTGTAGGTTTTATTTATTTCTTGTATATTTGGAGCTGTTTTTAACATATTGTATGGATGGTGTGTTTTTGTTTTGTATATTATTGTAGTATAGTATATGAAAAACTTATTTTTCAAAAAATGAGAAATCCAAACAGAATCCAAACTTGTTTTTAATTTAGTAGGAAATAGAGAGTTTCTATAAAATTTTCCCATTCAAAAATCTTTCAGAAGTTAATTAGGAATCCAAAGAAAAATTGCTAGTTTTTCCCTGAACACATTTCTCAATCACCTTTTTATCTCACATATATCAAATTGCTACAGTAATTTTTCTAGAAAAAAAAAATCCAGAAAAATGCAATCTAAACAAGGTAGTTTATACAATTGTTATGATATCTTGGTATATTATTCAATTCCTTGTATTTTATGGGCAACAGAAATCCTTGTTTATTTAGAATAAAAAGGAAAGAAAGAAGTAAAAAATACATTAATTAATTGAAGAGAAACAATGAATAACACATTTGTGATAATTCTAAAATTTGTTTTCATTTATTTAGGTAACAAAGTATATAGCACTCTCAACAAGCATTGACAATACTTAGTAATCTGAGTTTGAAAAAAAAATGTAATGTAAAAGCCTAAAAGTTAAGGAGATGCACAAAATCAATTGATGTTAGTCTAATTTCAAAAGTTATGTTTTAATTTAACTAATTTAATCATTGCTAAAAGCAAAAAAAAAAGCATGTTAGATTGCTTATGAAACTAAATCAGTGGACTTGGTTTAACTATAAGTCTATAATGCACTGCATTGTACATATAAATACATAAGCAAACTATTTTTATCCTTATCAGTAGTTGCTGTCTTTGATAAAAGTCTTGTCCTGAGTTGATAATTTTAATTGATTATATATTCTAATTTTGGATAATCAATTTTTGTAAAATTCTCAATTACTTTTGTATTTTGATTATAAAATTTTTAATAAGAAAAGAACTAAAATCTATAGTCACCCAAAAGATAGCTTTTACTTATTCTGAAATTTTGTAAATCTAAAATAACTGAGAATAAGGCTAATGTCTGTTTCATTTTCTCCGAATTACTCCCATGCACCAGATGAGAGAAAGAAAACAACAAAAATAACACAAGGAAATATATATATATATATATATATGTAAATAAAATAAGGAGAGGGATGAATTAGACTGCAGAGAAGAAGGAGCGTAGTTGAGAGATTCCAGAGTGTTACACTAAGTGAGAGGCGGCGGCGAAGAGGTTCCGGTCCTACACTGAAAAAATGTTCAATAAAGACAAGGGCTAACAACTGACAAGAATTTTCAAGGAACTCTGCTTTGGCAGGTTTGCTGGCTGCAGGAAGCCATTTGGCTGCTTGTTCCGGCGATGGAGCATTCGAGCCCCACCTTTAAACCATCGCCATCTGAGCACCGGGAAGGATGTCCAAAGAGGAATAAATGGATAGTCAGCGTAAACAAGAAAACGAAACGTAGACAAGTTGCCGGTCAGATTGGCTTGTTCTGAATTACTGAAAGCTACCTTTCTCATAAACAATTAGTATATTTTTGGCTAAGAAATATATTTTGCCCAATGAAATCCAACTACTTAACGTGACCAATTCAACTACCATGCTAATTGTCTTATTTGTAGTATTCTTGTTCAAAGTTCTTAGTCTAAAACGAGAGATATAAATAATCCTTCAGTAGATACCTGAGAAAAAATTTGCATGTGATTGACTTTGATGTGATTGATATTAGTGAAGTTTCAAATTCGTCACGTCTGCTGAATCTTTTTTAGGTAGATAAAAAGCTAGAGTACCAATGAAGCTGGAGGTATATATATATATATATATATATATATATTAAAATGGTACAGTTATTGTCAAGAGATCGCATTAGGACTCCTAAGTTAAAGCAAAAGATGTTCTTTTAAAAGTAAAATCCTGTGTCCAGTACTCGGGATAACTTTTTTAATAGGTACAGTTGTTATCAATCCAATTAGGCTTAGAATTAGGTGATCAATTATGAATATTTTTGGATAACTTATGATGTTCCACATAAAAATTAGGACTTCAACATCAAAGAACCAGTGGATTATAACCTAATCCATCTACTGGTAGCTTTGAAAGGGACCAAAAGATTCTACCCAAAAAAAAAAAAAGGAAGGGCCAAAAGGAGAATAAAAGTAAGTAGATATATAGAGTATTGCACTAACTTAATAGTGATGTCATTTTTTTTTTTTCGACACAGGAGTGTCTGGGTCAATCTTTACGGGGCCCGACTAATCCCCTGCGGCCCGAGCCCGGCGCCCCAACCTGACCCGAATACATTAAGTGCGCGGAGGAATCCAACGGAGCGGAGACTCGAACTTGTGACATCCAGATTCACTGGTAAGAGACGCTGCCGCTTGGACCATTCACTCGGGACTTGCACTAACTTAATAGTGATGCCATTCATTTTGCTCTTATTCACTCAAAGTGAAAATCGAACTTCTGTTTCTCGAATGCATCAATACAAAATGCCAAAATCCAAAAAAGTATTCTCCATCAAATCTCAATAATTATGTCTAAAGTTGTCTGAACAATGCCAATCTAGATTATTATTTCTCAAAAAACGCAGACATAACAATCCTTGCTAACCACTCTAATATGTTCCCCGAAGCACAAATTCTTAATTTGTCTTCGAATTACTTTCATTTTTATAAACATTTTCCTAGTCAATCTCCAATTTACTTTCATATTCCCTAAAATAGGAAAGAATATCCAAGAATGTTCTACAAACAAAAGCCTTGCCCCTTCATGAGCCTAAATGAAAGTTTGGACGTGCCACACTCCCAAAAGTAATCTTTAAAAAGAAGGGGGAAAAACCCTACTACTTCATTTTCAAAAGGATTAATTCTATTTTGCACCCTTAAACTTATACATCATTCTCTTTTTGTACTTTAAATTTTAATTTTAGACGACCCTTTACACCATAATTTTTCATATGTGTCCTACTTAAGTTTAATTAACAATAACATTCGCATGCAAACATTAACAGGATAGAGGACCGTGCAAATCCATGACGCGATTTCATTTATTACTAGTTGCATCTCCTTCTCTCTTTTTTTGATCATTTTCAGCACATTACTATTGATTTGCATAGTTTTCTATTATGTTAATTTAATCGATAGAATTTAAGTGGCACAAATCAAAGAGGTTACCATGCAAAGTGTTCAATACTAAAATTTAGAGTATAAATGAGAATATGGTACGCATTTGGAGGTGCAAAACGAAAGTTAGTCCTTTCCGGAAACCGAAATGAAGTAATTCCCAAATTTCTTTCATATATTAGTCAATCAAATTCCTTCATTTAATGTAAAAAAAAAAAAAAAAAAAAAGAAGAAGAAATAATCCCATTTTATGAATACGCGCCTTAAGGGAGCGTGGAGGAGAAAGTAGTTAGTCCACTGTCCAAGTCTTTTCCTCATTAATAAAAGCCCAACTGGAAACTGTTGGCAACTCTTCCCATGTCGCAGCCTCCTCCTCCCTCTCTCCAAGCCGTTTTGAGTTTTCAGTTACTATCTCTTACTTCTCCCCATTTTCATTATTTATTCATCCATGAAAAAAAGCCGCCGATTTCCCAAAAAGCCATCTGCAAAACTCTTGATCAATGAATCCCATGGCGGCTGCTTCCGCTGCTGTTGATCAAAGTTAGTAGTAATAGTGACTAATTATTTATCGCCGGTCAATCAAAGTCACCGCCGCCGTCACTGTTTAGTCAAGATTGATTGGTTGATTGATCTCGTAGCATTAACTTCTTTCACTCACTATGACTGACTCCCGAACTTCCACCTCTTCTTCCTCCGACTCCTCCGGCACCCTCCCCGTCCCTCCGCCGGTACTCTCTTCTCCTCTGCATTTCTTTTCTTAGTTTGGCAGAGAGCCCGGATATTTGTTCATGCATGCTTTTTATTATATATATTTATATATTTTTTTTGGGAAAGGGCAAAGCGCCAAAGTAGAAAATTAAAACTTCTTGTTTTTTTGAGACGAAAAATAAAGATCCATAACCATTGGGTTATAGTCAATTCTTGTGCTTGTGCTTATGCAGTTATGCTTATGCATGCATACATGATTTTGTCATATACACAATTTTATATGTACATGTATATTTGTGCATTACCAAATGGCAGACAATTTCACATTTTCTACACAATTATGCACTTTAAATTTGTGTGATATGTGGGATTTTAGCAAGTGGGTTGCGATGGTTTGGCTAAATTTGGAAGTTTTTTTTTTTTTTTTTCAAATACTTAGAAGCATTGAATTGTGGAGAATGCTTGGATTGGATTAAAAAAATTACATTTTTATTCTGTTTTGTGGATTATTAGATCACCAATTTGGATCAAGAACTCAAGATAGTGCAGACTGTTAGATCCTTCTGCTGAATTGGGAGTAAGGCTGGAAAGATAGAATCACCTCCTTTTCCATCCTTTTAACAAAAAAGGGGAAATGAAAGCCCAACCAACCTTTTTAATAAGTTTATTATATATATATATAAATGTAAAACCTGCTTCCCCCCTCTCCTGGACGGACTCCTCCAGCAAAATATAAATGAATCCATAGATAAAGAAGCAAAAATCTTTGGTCAACTTTGTTGATCATCTGATTGGATTGATTTACTTAATTATTTGGTGTTGATTATAGGTATTTACTTGATAGATTTTTTTCCCCTTTAGCGTCTGTACTTATGTTTTAAAGTTTCCGGCAATGGATTGCAGAATGGTGTGCAGGGTCGGATTAGTGCAGATGGCAGACATGCACTACCTCCAGATGTCTCACGCCAATGGCGGGATGTGTTTTGGTTAGCTTTGTTTGTCTTGCACTTGATTTTGGTAGGTTTTGTTCTTGGGGTACTAGGATATAATAGGTTTAAGACGAAGGATAGGCTCAACATCGATAAGTATACGATGGGATTTCTTGAGAATCAAGCAGGATTGACAGAGGATTATTGGCCAATGTATGCTTTGGCTGCTGGCGTGGGGACAATTCTCGGGTGGATCTGGTTGTCTTTATTGGGTTCACTTGCAAATGGAATGATGAAGATAGCAGTTCACTTCTTGACTACTTATCTTGCGGTTATCAGTGTGTTGTGCTTTTGGGGGAAGCAGTTTGCCTGGGGTGTTGTATTTGCCATTGGTGCAGCCTTGCAGTTCTTATATGTCATCTCTGTCATAGACAGGTTAGGATGATGGGCTTCTGTTTTGATGCTCTCTTTTGGCTAAGAATGTGCTAAAGAATGAATAAGCTCCTACAATCCTTTGATATACCCATGAATCTGAGAGTTTATCTAAATTCTAAGCAGCGTCATCTTGTGAAGAACTTTCCTTTTAAGTAGTTCCTGGTGTCTTGTTGCCACTGCATGATGAGTCTATAACACGTGCAGAGGTCAAAGTTGTAGGAACTAACAGTGCTAGCAGCGGTATGTTGTGATTGCAAGTTAGAATTTATGCTAGCTGTAGAGAGTTTGACTGCTTATGTTCATATTTGTTTCCAGAGATCTTTTTGATAGGGCATATGTTAAACTTGCAATAGGAAGATTAAAATACTTAACAACTGTTTGAGAATAGTTGCTAAGGAGTCATAACGAGTTACTTTTTGGTGGAAAAAAAGCATGTGTAATTAGTGATGCATCTGCATAGTTAGTTCTCTCTGTCTCTTCCTGCGCCTTCCCCCCCCCCCCCCCCCCAAAAAAAAACACCACAGAAAAACAACAACGATGGGTGCATGTGATTTTGTGTGGTTTAGATGTCACAAGAATTATATGTTAAATCATTATTAGCTATATATATATATATATTGACTCTTTGCTTTTTTCTAGACTTCCATTTACCATGCTTGTTTTACGAAGAGCTGTCAAGATGGTATGGAGTCTACCTGAAGTTATGGGGGTTTCATGTGGGTTTATGCTAGTTATGCTTCTTTGGTTGGCACTGTGGTCCTTTGGAGTAGCTGGTGTTGTAGCTTTAAGCTTAGGTGACAGTGGGCGCTGGTGGCTTCTTTTGGTGAGCTGGCAAGTTTTTGCTCTTCATTGTATCTTGTTATGCAGATGAAATGTTGCAACTTTGGCATCATTGTCTATGACCAAGAATACTTTTTGTGTATACAGGTTTTCTCTATCAGTTTGTTCTGGACTGGAGCGGTTCTTTGTAACATCGTTCATGTTATAGTATCAGGAATGGTTTTTCTTGTTCTTATTCATGGTGGTCGAGATGTAGAATCAATGCCTTCCAAGCCACTTGTGAATTCGTTGCAGTTTGCTATGACAAAATCTTTTGGCAGCATTTGCTATGGATCACTGTTTACAGCTGCTATTCGGACATTGCGCTGGGAGGTATGCAACTGATTGACTGTTTGATCGAAATGGCTATTTAGAACAACAAGAATAGTCAGTCTGTTGGATGTTAATCTACTTTCATTGTATATGCCAGAAGTTGTGATTGATCACTGGATTGGATTATGCATTACAGATTAGGGGAATCAGGTCAAAGATTGGAAATAACGAGTGTTTACTCTGCCTTGTGGATTTCCTGTTTCATTTGGTGGAGACTTTAGTTCGATTTTTCAACAAGTATGCTTATGTCCAGGTACTTCTTCTATTTCTACTACCTCAATGCCATTCACGATGCATGTTTAATTGTATGAAAATATTTTGGCCACTGCCATTTCCATGGTGAACTCTCCAAGTGAGGGCCAGTGTGGCTGCTTTTTACATAGTTAGATGCCCAACTTGTCTAGTGTGCTACACATTTTGATGGTAAAGTATTCGCCATTACAATGAGGTATCCAAATGAAATAAAAAGAAAGCACTAGGAAAGATTGATTGAACTTTTTGGGGTGTGTCGGTTTAATTTTTGAAGTTTTCTATGTTTGCTTGTACTTCTTCCTCGAAAGACATTTACTTTGCCTTGATGTGAATTTCTGTGGCATATCTTTGAAGTAATGCATAGGAAACTGAAAAGCCATTTTTCCTAAAAAATTTGCGCCCACTTTCATATATTTTAAAACTATATATGCTGACTCTTCTGCATTCAAATGTATAATTTGTTTGGATGAATGCCTCGGTAAACTGGTACTTTATATTTGCTTTTGATTCATTTCTAAGGGAGGAGTAATGGAGCGGGTTACTGAATATTCTGATTATTGAAATGCATGCCATTGTTGCTGTATTACATGGAATGCTGGTGAAACTGGAGTTTGACATTCTTAACGAAGTTCTGATGTCCCTTTCTGCTATGGTTTCTAAGCCATTAAAATCACCTAACTTGCTGATCTTTAAATTAAAACTTTTTTAATAAGATAAAAGTGGTCAATGTGAAGTAAGAGGTTGAATGGTGTACCAATTCATATTACATTCTCATCTTCACTTGTTTCTATGACTATTTGAATACCTTGTTTCATTCAAATATAAGTGTCTTTGAATACCTTGAGAAGGCTGCTAAATGCTTCTTGTTCACAGATTGCAGTTTATGGTAAAAACTTCAACCACTCAGCTAGAGATGCGTGGGAGTTATTTCAATCAACAGGTGTCGAAGCACTTGTTGCCTACGATTGTTCTGGTGCTGTTCTACTAATGGGCACTGTCTTGGGTGGGCTCGTGGTTGGAACTTGTTCAGGAGTTTGGACAAGGATTCACCATCCAGACAGGGTGATAATGGTGGGATCTACAGCCATGTTAATAGGAATGATCTTGGTAAGTTGATTACAGCATGTTACTTTAAGATTGACAGGATAAGCAAATGAGCAATTTAGCCTGCTTGCTCTAGTAGTTCGATTGGGGATCTGTCTCTGTTTGTGTGGGACCATGTATTGGTAAGGCACCATGGTAGGGCGCTTATGAGAGCATCATTTGATGTTTGATTTTCAGGTTGGATTGGCGATGGTGGTTATAGAAAGTGCTGTAACGTCCATATACATTTGTTATGCAGAAGATCCGTTGTTGATACACAGGTGGGATGCAGAATTTTTCCTCCAGATGTCAGAGACGCTTCACCAACGCCTTCAACACAGAAGTGCAAGGGCAAGGGAAGTGCTGCGTAGATTCGACGGTCAAACACAGCAAACACTAGCTGCTTGAGGCTTCCATTTTGTACTAGCTGCATAGGCTAACTGTTTATAGCTAGTGACCCATACTGTTATAAATGCACCCTTACCAATTTTATTTTGATCATCATTGTCTGCATGCTAGGCTTCTTCAGCTTAGTCTTCCAAGAATTTTGAGATTTGGAGCAGGTATCTTTTTGGAGCAGACACGCAGAGACTCTCATCTGTTCTTAATCACATAAAACTCAGCCTTAATTTATGCTTGGTCACACAATGGCTTAGACCAGACCAGGCCAGGCCAGCCCAACTCGAAGGCCTGCCTCCAGCATCTGGTACCTTAAACGAAATTAAAAGGCTTTAACAAATCTTTCTCACCTCTGAAAAGACAAATTGCAAAATTATTCAAGGGGCATGCCCTAGACCTCTTGTATGGTTAAATAGTGAGGGAAAAAAAAAATACTACAAAGAAATGTGCTTTGACGTGAAATAATGAAAGAGAGGGAAGTAATTAACTAGAAAGAATGGTTAGTGGAGATTTGCGGATCGTTTCGAGTAAAAGAACTGGAGCTATTGTTTGGATTTCTATGGAAATTTATAGACACTTCCTCCCTGCGAGAAGCAATAATAGGATTCCCAGTTTCCTAATACGAGCCCCACCAACCGTGTCGTGTCGCTTTGAAGTGCAAGTATTTTTCTAACCGACCCTTCTGCTTCATTGGTGCCAGCTGCCAAGCCTAGAGACAAGCATTTAACTTTCCGCGACACGACACTAACGAACTCTAGTCTAGAGACAAGCAGCAGAGGATTTTTTCCACTACAAGAATACTTAATTGAGAAGCATCAACACACTCGGGCATAAAATAAAATAAATAAAAACCACTGCTACCTATTATAACTCTAAACATCCAATCATATGTTTCTAAACGTTAATAAGATCTTCAAGTTTAAGACATCAGTATAAGCTCCGGAAATCCACACTACAATACGCTAAATCTAGTGAATTCCACTTTTTTTTTTTTTTTTTTTTTATCATGATAGTGAATTCCACTTAAACGGGCAAAGCCAGACAAATTACTTTGTAATATCCCCTGTTTCCTGTGTGGGAGCCTCCTTGATCTCACCGCCGGCATCCTCCTGAAACAAGAGTATTCATACATGTTTAAGCAACATGCCAAAAAAAAAAAAAAGGGTTCCTTTTTGGGGATTTTTTTTTTTTTTTTGGAGGTTTTGGGGGGTGGGGGTGGCTGTGTGCAAATTGCTTTGAAGTGCGTGCGTATGTGAAACAGAGAAGGAGAAGAGGAGGCAAGGGAACCAAGAATGCATACCGGCACATCAGAAGTCCACAAAGTAAGGTTGTCGCGGAGAAGTTGCATTATGAGTGTACTGTCTTTGTAAGATTCTTCACCTAATGTATCCAACTCAGAAATAGCTTCATCAAATGCCTGCAACAAGCAACGACAGATAGCAAGAGCATCAGTTCAATTTACTAATAATTAATGGCTACTGAATAAGAAGAGCATTAATTTATACTCGGTGATTTTCACGCAATCAAAAGCATAACATACAGAAGGATTATGTAACCCGACAACTGGCCACAGAAACAAACTAACCTGCTTGGCAAGGGAACAAGCACGATCAGGCGAGTTCAAAATCTCATAATAGAACACAGAGAAGTTCAGAGCAAGACCAAGTCTTATTGGGTGTGTTGGAGCCAATTCAGACAGGGCAATGTCCTAGAACAAGAATACCATAGGAAAACAATTATGAAAACCATCTAATAGATGCTGAATACTAGAAACAGATATTATTGCGTTGACAGCCCACCTGTGCAGATTTGTAGGCAAACAAAGTGTTTTCAGCTGCTTCTTTCCTCTCAGCCCCAGTTTTGAACTCAGCTAAGTACCTATGGTAGTCACCCTTCATTTTCAGATAAAAGACTTTAGACTCGGCAGTAGAGGCAGCAGGAATAAGATGTGTATCCAGAAGACGCAAAATCCCATCACATATCTTGCTGAGCTCAGCCTCAATCTTTCCCCTATAGTCCTTGATAATTGTAACATGCTCTTCGTTTCCACGGCTCTCTTCCTTTTGCTCAATAGAGGAAATAATTCTCCAGGAAGCTCTTCTAGCTCCAATAACATTCTTATAAGCAACTGAAAGTAGATTCCTTTCCTCGACAGTTAGTTCTTCACTGTCCACTGTCTTAGCAACTTTCTCCATGAATTCAACCATTTCCTCATACCTCTCAGCCTGCTCAGCCAACTTGGCCATGTAAACATTCTCTTCACGAGACATATTGTCTTACTCAAATGTGAGTTTTTGTTTCCTGTAGAAACATCAAAAAGTTCCGTAAACCAAACGAGGAAAAGTCTTTAACTTTTATTGAAATACGAATCAAGATCACATAATAAGACACATAAGCAGATGCTGACTGACACAGACATTATATTATCATCATCAGAGCAGCACATATCTTCTGGAAGCAATTAATTTCTATCACTATAACCACGCCCCTTATAACACTATTTCTTCCAACTGCCTGTAATTTTGTAGTTAATTTACTCTGGCATGGTGCTTAATCCTCCAAATCATACAGATAATCTCAGACTAACTTCCAGACAGAATAGAAGGTAAAAAGCTAGGGTAGAAAAAGAAGCAACAAAGAAGAAATTTCTAACTAAAGACAAAGAGCTTCTAACTCCTGGTCTTTCCAGACAAGACCCTTAAAAAGAAACAAAGAGAGAGAGAGAGAGAGAGAGAGAGAGAGAGAGTGTGTGTGTGTGTAAGGTCACATCAACTAAGATTTTAAAAAAAGAACAAAGCCCAAGGAGCTTTTGCCATTGTTTTTATAATGCCCAGACCTTAAAAGGTTTCAGTTTCCCCAAATCAACCATGCCCTTAATTTTGCGCACACGTAAGCTTTCTGCCTTTTTTTTTTATTATTATTGAGAAGAACACTATTCTAACTGTATTCATCAAATAACATATGTGAAGGATGAAATGCATACCAATATAAGTATAATTATAAGTAATTAATTATACAGCTAGAGCAATCCAAATACTCATACCAAATAAAACATAAGAATAAAACTGGCGATTTCAACTTTTAGAGAAGTCATATATGATACTACCAGAGTGCTGGATATGATAACATATATGAAAATACAAGAAAACCAAGGATAATCACTCTGGCCAAATGATGTAAATGAAAATACAAAAATCAATAAGGCAAAAGCACATAGAACTAAACTCAATTAAGAAACGGATTTTAGCAGACCCGGATGACAGTTTTAAACTAACCAATAATACATGTACCCAATCAACTAATTATTGCAATTCTTTTATTTAATTAAATAAACTGACTAATTGTTAGCAGCCGCAAGCCAAGCAGATCCACACAATCAAATCCACAAACAATTATCTTTTTCCTCGCCAGAAACTACCAAATCTATACAGATCTCCTCAGACCCACCAGAAAGAATGGAAAAAGAAGCGCAACACACATGATATTTACATCCAAATTTGACATAAAATCTGAACTTTACATCGGATTAAAGTATTAAATAAACAAAAAATGCATAAAAATCAGGTTTTGCAACAAAAGATCATACCTTTTATGCCGTTTGGAAGCTAAAGAGCACAGTCACAGAGTTAATCAGAGTTGAGAAGGAAAAAGAAAAGATGCAGCACAGATGGGTCCTTTTATATATGGTTGGGGATGACTGCTGAGGTAGTCAAAGTAGCAAAGTTAAAAGATCTTAATCACAGATTCACGGTAGCCTTTTAAGATGGGGGAGGGTCAAGCAAAATTTCTGGTCAAATGAGGAAAAGTGCTGGAAATGCAACTGAGAATCCCTTTCTCGTCAAAGTTTTGGGATGTTGACACGTGTCGAAATTCGCAGATCTCAATCGCCGCCGCATGTGGCGGGGAATGCGCCTTGTAAAATTGCTCACCTAATTAATCGTTCAATTTATTCCAATCCTAATAACGATTGTATAAAATCTTGTAAATTTCAATTAATTAATTTTTTTTAAAAAAAAAAAGCTTAGAGACTGAATAAGCTTATTATGATAACAAGTTGGAAAAAGGACTTCTTTTCTTTTCTCTTCTCATGTGAAGGGTCGTTGTTTCAAGTCTTCGGTTAGAAAATTATTTTCGTTAATGCGAAAAATGAACATTGACCGGCTTATGCTTATTTCTTGTAACTAGGAGGGGCTATGGTCACCTTAGAAACCAGGCCAATTTTCCAGCAAGGTCATTGCTTAATGGGTCAAATAGATTATTGGTCCAGCTTAAGGCCCCAATTTTGGGTGGATTGATTGAGCGCCACGGGCCACGCCTAATATCACTAGGCCCGGGGAGTCCCTTGCTCGTGATTCATGATATTGGTATTTGCTCTTGTTCACTGCAAATGCACGCAAAAGGGTTCCTGGTCTTCACTTTAGTTCCCCAGTATGCTCTCCTAGTCCTATGTGATGCTGCTAGGTCAAGCAAAAGGATTAAGTTTTTTTGTAAATACATACATGCCTACGTACATAAAATATACGGTACCACTCATATGCATGATAATATCAACCAACTCGATTCAAATATCGAATAGTTTTATCATTCTCCATTTTCCACATCTTCATCGCATATATGTATAAGCTTTCCAGCTAAAGAACACAATCCGAGTGACTCAATATTCTAACAAGCGATGAGCTGGAAGAATAACTCATCGAAATTTAGGAATTTTCATTTCATAAGATGAACGCATCAAATTAAAATGTGTGAGAATATATGAGGGATTTACTCATTTATCTCAAAATTCTAATCTAAATTTGCAGTGAATAACAGATCCAAACTCTTGGAAATTTTTAATGAGCGATTTTAGGATTTGAGTTCGTGGGTTGACCAAAAAAAAAAAAAAAAAGGATTTGAGTTCGTGGGAAAACATCAAGGGATATTATCACAAACCTCCCTCGAGGTTTCTCTCGATATAACTTGGTACCCCTGAGGTTTTAGAAATCTCACTTACTTCTCTTAGTAAAATGAATCAAACTATTCGCTATTCGAATCAAGTTTGACTTGATAAAAATTTGTTCAAATTTAATTTACTAACTAATCAAATCAAACTCAAATATTATAATTTTATGTTTGATAATTTTTAAATTTGATAAAAAAGCTTATTTAAATTTATCACGATAAATAAATAAGTTAAACTTAAATAAAATTTTAAATCTACTAAAATAATCGACCAAACTTAAACATTAAGATATCTAACTTGATTGGACTCGATTTACACAACCACTCAACCTCTCAACAACCGCAAGAATGAATAAACAATTCAGCAGGCCTCCTCTCAGTCTCAGACTCGCTGCTTTGCCTTTTGGTCACGAGGGGTCATATCACCGTATCTTAATAATGCGATCTCCAGTCCAACGTTCTAGCAGCGTTGCACAAAATCCAAAACCAGTGGATCAGAGCCGAAGAATCACAAAAACTCACCAGGGCCAAGAAATGGACACGTGAGCAAATGTACTGAAGCCGTATCAAATGCGTCACGTATGGGCCATACTCGCTGGGCTGCTGCGGCCCGTACAAATTTCTTTCAAGTCCCCACCTTCAATACACTGTCCATCACTGACTCACATCAGCATTTCCAGCGGCAGCAGCAGCAGCAGGAGAGCAGGCGGTTCCTTTGAAGCAAAAGCCTATTTATTATTACTGTGATTATTAAAAGCCCATGCCAATTTGATTTCCAAGTTTCCAGTCTACTACAGTAGTATTCCTCGCATTTTATTTTTACTGTCACGTTTTCAATTTATTAATATTTTAAAATAAGAGCTATAATTTTAAATTTAACACGTACTATTAAATCTTGTTATTTGAAAAGTAATATTTTAAAATTTCAATATACATCTATCAAGAAAATATTTTGAATTTAAATGATATATATATAACTTTATTAATATCATATTATTTAAACATAATATTTACCACGTCTTCATTAAAAATTAAATTTTCAAAAAATAACTCTAATAGTGGAAAGTAGCAGTGTGGTAATCCCATTTTGGGAATTTAGTCTTCCATTTTCCCAAAAAAAGCACCTAAGACAATTTAATATTCTCCTACTTTTTCACCCCATCTCGTCACTATCCCATCATCTTTCGAGCCCTTTACACCTTCACTCTTTCCGATGGAACCTATTTATTCTCGCAGAAATGTACACTCATTTCTAGGCTAAGTTAATGTAAAACGCAGCAAATTTGAAGAACTTACCACTAGAATATAGGCGCTGTCTGACACTTGAATTTTTTACCAAGTTTGTTTGCTGCTCCTCTGTTTTTTTTCATCCGTCCCAAATTATAATTTACTTTTTAATTAAAAAATATAATTATATTTTAATTTTTCTAAAATATCCTTATTCAATATAAGTAATTATTATTATAAACCTACCCCATTTAATAAGAGTTGATTCTTTTTTTACCATCAATTCAAGTTCTCATAAAATTATACCATATTTAATGTGAGAATATTTTAAAAAAATAGCAATCTAAATTTATTTTTCCAACAAAATTAACTACTTTTTCTTAAATTGTGTAAAAAAAGAAACAGGACTATCAAAGTGAGACGGAGGGAGTTAAAATTTTAACTATAGTAATCTTAAAATTTTTTTTAAAGTTTTAAAATTATATAATTTAAAAAATTTAAAAATTTACACACTTCAAAATTTTTTTAAAAAATTTCGACAGTAAATTAGAGTAAAATTTTATACGAACACAAAAAAAAACTCACTTGCCAAACGGAATAATATTTGCAAGTAACGACTATCCAAATAGGCCCTTACTTTCTTAATTCAATTTTTGCTTAGGGAATCTATGGTGAAGAAATTAATTCATCCTTTTTCTTGCCGTGATTAATTTTTTGTTCTTTTAATATTGCAAGATATATAATTTTCAGAATCAAAGGACTTTATAATTATCAGTACCAATTGTATTATACAATATAGCTGCTATCACGACAAATATAGGTACTAAAACACATACATAAATATTAACACAACGGCATGTAAAATTATAATACTTTTTTTTTTGTTAAAATTTGTGTTGGAAGCTCAATCCCAACCATTAAACTTCAAATTTATTATCTCTTATCGTTAACTAGTTTGTGTAGTCGTAACGTTAATTTTAGAGAAATAAAATCCTACTAGTTTCCATTAACTAGAAAAAGAAAGTAAAAAAAAGATATGTGTATATAAGTAGATAGTAGACGGAGATTTAGGCCCTTTGCCTCACATGCTAGTCAAACAAATTAATCTAGCAATGTAATATCAAGAATAGAAGAACTTACTGTATGTAATTTTCTAAATTACAAGATGCAATGACCTCACCGAATTTATCATTATACCATAGATCTTTCCTCGAATCCTTTAATTATGGGAGCCAACTCGTGGCGTCGCATGTCATGTCGTTTTACACGCTGCTAATTTTTTTAAATAAAGATGTTAGGATAAAGCACACTTGAAATTGCAAAATTATACTTGTTGAAGGTGATATACTAAAAATTGATACAAAACTTTAATTCCAAAATTGCACGAGAACTCCTCGTAGTTATACTTAAAATTAACCGAGTAAATCTTATCTATATTGATAGTGTATGCACTGACACATTGTTGAATTTATGAAACATTCAAAATCTGAATTTCAAATTCAAATTTATATTAGTTATCATTCATTCAATACTGATATTGATAATGAATGTTTTTGAATAGTAGATTATCTAGGATAATTTTTTTAAAAAAGAATACTCTAATATTTTTTTGATTTGATATATGTAATATAAAAAAATAATTAAAAAAATATGTTGATTATGTAAGCAAATAATCATTATTCAAACAAATTCAGTGTATATTTCGTCAATGCATAAAACATTTATTCAAATTAATTATGTAATATATTTGGTCTCTTTTTAAAGCCGGGGAAGAGAATAAATACTCTTGGGTGGCGTTAATGTCATCTCGAGAAGGGAACCATTTTCATACTACAAAAAGATGGTATCTATTACAGTAGCAAAAGACAATTCATTGGGTGGCGCATCGTGCATGGCATGGTAGATTCTTTGGGCATTAGTTCCACACGTGATTTGCACTCTTATATTCGATGGAAATATATATTGGGATTCCAAATCTAAAACCAAAATGCACGAAGAGAAGAGGGGTCAGAAAGCAATAATGAGAAAGTTGAGTACTTTTTTCAAGTAAAATTATTACGATTCTCCTACTTAATAATAATAACTAGTAACTAGTAACTAGTACTACTACTGGCGAAAGAAACAAACTGTATCCTGGTACGCTATCGATCTTCTGTTAAAGAAAGACAGCTTCAGGATTTCCTTCTTTTTTAGCCTTTTCCTTCGTCTCTTTCGCCTGGCTTCGGCTTCAGCTTCTACTTCTTCTACTTTCTCACCACCTTTTTCTGAGCATAATGACTTCTACTAGTACTAAAAGGATCACATAGCATCTTTAGTTACATTTGTTCTACTACCGTATCATGTCCAAATTTATACCATAAGAGACTAAAAAATTACAAAGAAAACATGCAAAGCTTCAAATCAGCCACAGCAGCAGCTCCAGCGGTAGTTACTCTTACCAACTCTGATATGTATTGCCGTTCGTCCATTTATCTGAGGTCCTCCCTTCTTTTCTACCCTTTTCTTTTTGACTTTCTTTTTCTATGTTGTCAGATATTTACGCATGATTTATGATGGGATGATATATCAAGTATTTTAAGCTTTAATCAAGCTGTGGGGTTTTTTTTTTGTTTCCACTTTCTCTTTGATACGGTATAGGGGTCATGAAGGTGGTGGTGGTAGAAATTGGACAAGCTATGTGGATCTTGGGGAGCTTGAGCAGTCATCATTTCACCAGGAGCATGCTGTTGATTTAAGCACAAGTATCCTCTGTCTCTCTCCGTGCTCTATGTTTTCTCTGTTTTTCTCAGTATATATATAAATATTAATGTGTAATAGTACTTCTTATCTAACCACTTGTGGTCAGTGGTGAAGTGGGATTTTGGAGACTAAATTATAATATATATTGTAGGTTCGATATACAGCGACATGAAGCCAAGCAATGTTGTTGCTGTTAGTAATTCTAGCTTACAGTTTGGTGGGCTTAACACGGTTTGTGGATTTAATTGTTTCCTCTCACCAACCTTTTAATAGCACGTTTTAGGGAATACAAGTAGGTAATGCATATTTGTTAAAAGACTCTGTAATTTGGTGTGCGAATCTTTTTTATTTAATTTTTTTTTTTGAATTTTTTGGGTGGTGAATGTAGAATATGGGTTCTGGAGCGATGGGATCATCAGGAGCTGTAGCGGATACGGGGCAGTTCTTGATGCTGAAGGGGACAATGCTGAGTGTTGGAGCTGGTGGGACTTTGGGAAGTGGGAATTTTGAGAACTGGGGAGAGTCTGGGATGGCAGATCACAGCCAACAGACTGATACTTCTACAGATGTTGACACTGATGAGAAAAGCCAGGTCTTTCTCTTATGCGTGTATCTGTAATTGGTGTCTCATTATAAGAAAAAGTATAATTCTTTGTTGGTCATTTCATTTTCATAGCTAATAGCTTATTTGACCCTAAGGTGTAAAGAAAAGGTCAAGACTAGCATAATGTAAAGGGCGATTGGGAGTTTTTTTTTTTTTTTGCGTACTTCTAATTACGAAAGTTACAAATGTTACTAGCAGGTAAATTGAACCTTGAACACATAACATCTCATGGTTCGGAATGACTTTCTGTTTTTAGTTACTCCATTTTGTATCACATTCATTGACTTTATTTTCCTACTTACGACCAAGTCCAACAGGCTAAGTGTCTTTACCATGATTATCTGATCATTTTTGCAGTTTCATGGTGTTCGCCGTGGAACACTAGTAGGCATGGATTCAATGGAACGGTCAGGAGAGAGAAATGGAGACCAGAAGGTTTGTCCTGTACTTTGGTTTGGCTGGTTATAATCTGGTTTATCGTTCATTTCAGTACCCATACGTGGTTTATAAATTATTGTGTAGACACTGCGAAGGCTGGCTCAAAACCGAGAAGCTGCTCGAAAGAGTCGATTGAGAAAGAAAGTAATATTGCCTATCTTGAAACTTGAGCTTAGATTTTGTAGAAAAATTGATGCTATTTTGAGAAGGCGTTTATTTTAATTGCCGCCCTTTTTTCCTTTTTTTCTTTTTTTTTTTTAAATGAACTTAAAAGTTGATTAATCAAATCCCATATATTAAGATTAACTAATAAAACTACCAATATTTTACTGATTTCAATTAAAAGTCTCAATGTAAAGTGAAATAACCCTCTAATTCCTTGATGGACAGGCATATGTTCAACAGCTGGAAAATAGTAGGCTTAGACTTACACAACTGGAGCAGGAGCTCAAACAAGCACGGCAGCAGGTACTTTAACTCAGTTGCAGCTTCCACAGAGGAAAAGAACCTACAATGCTCTTTGTATTCATGTTAAAACGGCTTTAACACTAAGCAAATATACACGTACCTTGGATGAAACTCGGATGTGTTTCCCGACTCTCTTGCACTAACAACATGCCTTGTCAGGTTAAATCTCGGATCCTAACTGAGGAAGAAACGTAGCTGTTTGGACAACAAATTTATAGGATTATAGTTATCTATTAGAGAGGAAGTATAAATTCGTTAACTGCCCTAATGCATCAAAGCAGTTCGCATAGGAAATTTGTTGAAGTGGTTTCATTAAAGACTGTACTATAGCATGTAAATGATGCCCAATGACAGCAATAGATTTAGTTTGCTGTAAAATACTTTGTGTTTGAGTTTACTTTTTAGTACTTAATACTACATGAATTAATTTTGCATCACTTTTTGGATGCAGGGTGTACTCAAGGCTAGTGGATACACAGGAGATCAGTCTATGAGTGGTAATGTTCTGTAAGTTTAACAATTTTCTAACATCATGCATAAACATCTCAAAGAGCTTAAAAAGCTGGTAATTCAGTATGGATAAATGGGCAAAGCGTATGTCTTCCACTCTTTCTGCAACAATCATGGTGCTCCTATTAGTTGTTTTACAAGATAATATGATCAGCTTGTGCTAGCACTTGTAAGGTGTTCAAGAGTAAAAACTAGTGGGTTCATAAATCTCTCAAATGAAGGGCAGTTAAATACAACTTCTTAAAGTGCCTACATGGTTTGTATACATACAGAGTAAAATTCTTGAATTTAGTGTGACATACTAAATGCTTCTCTTCTAGAAGTATTTGGTGTTGCATTCTTATGTGTAAGGAAGTCGGAAGACTTCTTGTCCTTTTGGATGCATTGGGTTTTGGGTGTGATAGAACTATTGTGATAAATTCTCTTGATTGTTTGAACTTGATAGGTTATGTATGCCAGTGATTCCAGTTATACATGTTGCTTTGATCGAATTTTACATAGTGCTAGTTGACTTGTTTAGTTAAAGACATTATAGCTGCCTCTATCCTGAATTTATGCTAGACGACGATGGATATATTGCACAACAAGATGACAAGTGTGTCTAAGACGGTAATGGTGGTAAGAGAGTTGGGCGAGGTTAAAGAAATGTGGGAAACTGAAACTGTAATGTAGGGACAGAATGAAGAGAAAGAGGCGAGGCAGACAGAGAGCAAAAAGGCTGAACATGGAAAAAGTTGACGGCTGAATACCATTCAGATCCCTGAATTTGCTCAATGTTTCAGATCTGTACGATTAGGCTTCTTTTTCTGATCCATCTATGTCGATCCCAAGATAAGAATTCTAATCCCTGAGATAATCGAGTCAATTGAAGAACCTCTAATAAAATTAGGAGCCTATGATTCCTCTCCACTCAAAGTCGATAATGGTTGCTTTTCTCGTCATTTCTGAAAGTACTGTAATTTTAAGAGAATTAGAGTGTTGTTCATACTTCGTGTAATGAAGTGGTGCAGTATCTTATCCTTGAATTACACGATGCGGCGCACTAAAGACCGACAGCCAAAATATCGTGAAAAAGTCTACTAAGCATGACAACGCATTCAATATTCAGGCTCCTAAGCATGGCGGGGGCCAAAAAAAACCTCCGCTTAATGCTGGAATCCACATTATCAGCTAATTGATATCTATTACTTATATTATTACTGCTGAATGATAGAATTTCACTAGATAAATGTTGATACAGGGGCGTTGGCATTTGACATGGACTATGCCCGCTGGCTTGATGAACATCAAAGGATGATTAATGATCTCAGAACTGCTGTCAGTTCTCAGCTGGGAGATAATGAACTGAGGCTACTTGTTGACGGAGTAATGTCACACTATGACGAAATATTCAGGCTAAAAGATATAGGCACTAAGTCAGATGTATTTCACATGCTCTCTGGCATGTGGAAGACTCCAGCAGAAAGGTGTTTCATGTGGTTGGGCGGATTTCGTTCATCTGAGATTCTCAAGGTCGCGTATAATTTTCTGCCTTTGGCTTCTCACATTCATATTTTGTTTTACAACTAGAACCATAATCATATATATATTTTTTGAATATCAGATACTTGGAGACCATCTTGAACCTCTGACAGATCAACAGTTGATAGGCATCTGCAATCTGCAGCAGTCCTCCCAGCAGGCTGAGGATGCCTTGTCTCAAGGAATGGAAGCTTTGCAGCAATCGCTTGTTGAGACACTTTCATCTAATTCCCTTGGTCCAAGTGGTTCTAGTAATGTGGCTGATTACATGGGACAGATGGCAACTGCGATGGGTAAGCTTGCCATGCTGGAGAACTTCCTTCGTCAGGTATTGATCCAAATCTTCATTCAGCTCCTAGCACTTCCTAACTGATCAAGTTTCAATCTGAAGTGGATGCAATGATGAGGATGTATAACCATATCCTAACTCTTTTTCTTTTAGGCCGACCTCCTGAGGCAGCAAACTTTGCAGCAAATGCATAGGATACTGACCACTCGTCAAGCTGCTCGTGCCCTCCTTGTCATTAATGAATACATGTCGAGGCTTCGGGCGCTTAGTTCTTTGTGGTTAGCACGCCCTAAGGATTGATTAGATGCCGTTATCCTAGCTGTTATTTTACATATTGCTAATACTAGTGGTCCTGAAAATATGCAATATTCTCAGAATGTTATCCATATTCCCTGGTGATGTAGAAAATTGTAATTCCCCACGGTTATTTTCTGGCTTAGTGAAATTTTAGAGGGATGCCATGGTTCTGAAAAACGTTTAGAAGTGCACTGATGATTAAAAAGCGTACATTATTGATATCTCATGGAGTCAAAATCTGGCTAACTTGTGTCAAAGGCATGAAATACATGAAGATAGAGGCAATTGAAATCAAAATCAGGGTATTATGTTGCGGATAGTTGCATAATGATCTAATCCAAACAAAAACCTTTCTCCTTTAGCCTGTCATGTTTTACCGAAATCCCTAAATTGGTACTGGGTAGTAATTGTCTAATCCTTTTTTCTTCGTGTGTGCAAGCATTTGGTTTCTGGTGGATTTCGTCCTAATTAATCTGCGTAAAGACAATGATATCGTCTTGCATAACATTGTCTCGAGCCCAGTTAGATGGATAATCAATCCCTGTATTGGCAAAGTTATATTTACATTGGAGAGCATGGGGTACACTTTTCATATATACCTATCAAAGAAAACAGGTACACAATCATTGCACATTGGCAACCGGCTTGTACTTTCTTCCTCTTTCGTTATTCTTCTTTCCTGCGACACAGTAAATCAGCAAATAAGTTAATCAAGCTCTGTAAAAGATAGAAAACTAGTAGCAGGACCGTCTAAAAAACAATCATGAATCATCTCTAAGAAAGGTTAATCACAGCAGCAGAACCTACTTGGCCTATATCTTCTTCTGGACTTGATAATCTGTGGAATGAAAACTCCAGTCCCATTCCCAGGCTTCCACAAGTTGAAGAGCCATGTCGGTGCTGATTCTGTTTCATCATTGCCTAACCAGTTGTAATAGCATCCTGGCTGCAGCTTTGAAACATGGCTGAAGTTTAAATTTTGGTGCGAAAGTTTTCCAGTGTTGGGATGTCTGTTTTCTTGACAATCTTCATCATCTTCTGCTGTCAGTACCAAGACCTGCCTTCTGAGTTCAGCATAGAAAAGATCATCTTCATCACACTCCCATATGTCTCTCTGATTCATATTTTCTTGCATTTGTGAATGAAGACTGAAGCAAACTTCCATGTGGGATGCTTGATTGGAACTCCTGATTCTTCCCTATGGTATATATAAGTCAGGCGATTGCTGGCTTAATGATTAAGGTACTTAGATTGTAGTCAATATTCAAGGTCAATGGAAATTGGTCTTATGACAGTTACACGAGAAGCCTCCAAATGGATCCAAATCCACGGAATATCTCTAATCTTGTAGTTTATTTTGGTCATTAATGTTGGACTAAACAAATGCTCATGTCCTTATCACTCTACAAAGTCTGAAATTTAAGCTTCTTTGTTTGCACTTTTGTCATTTTAGGAGGTCAAAAAGGATAAACAGAAAACTTCTAATGCATGGAAATCAAAGAACTTCCCTCCTCACTAAGTATCTAATTATTCATTAGGCCGTCGCAATTAGGAACATTGTGAACCTATTAATAATACGGCATTTGGAGGGTAAGGGAGAGGTGTGGCACTATCTCTTGACTAGTACCTTGAACTTGACTTGATTTTGCCCCCTATACTAGCTGGTTCTTTTGCATTTTTCATTTGAAAACCTTGGCCATAATCATCTTTTGTCTTTATGGAATCATACAGACCTCCACCCGGTCAAACTTTTTGTAGGTTAATTTAATCTTTCACCTTTAGCTGTTCTGAATTGATTCTTCTGCCGATTTACATATTTTGTTGTTTGCATTTCTGAGGCAGAAGGTGCTTTTGTTCATGTTGTTTCTAGTGAACTCATCACGCTCCAGGCAAGTCAACAGACATTATAATTAATACTAGAATTCGAGATAAGCATCAATTAATTTTCTAAATACCATTACAAAAATTGGATGCAAATCAGAGGAAAACCCAAATTCTGTACGTTGCTTTCTTGCTGATGAGAGGGCTGCAGGCCATGAGCCCACCATCATGGCATTGTGGAGAAAAGGTTGAGAAATGACGTCGTATATACAATTATATTTACCCTCCTTCTCTCTCTGCACCAGAATTTTGTTAATACCAAGACTAATTTTTTCGTGGACGACAACATTATTCATGTCTGCTCTATGTCTCACTTCGTCTCCTAAATATATCTTTTTCCCCATCAATGTTATTTTTCAGAACTTCTACAATTTATTTATCTAGCGGTTATACGTGAAATGTCAATATTGCCCCTATATAAATGAACTCCCTATGATTTGTCGAGTGTTCAATTTAACTCCCCCTGATTTGAAAAATCACATTATGACTCCCTACGGTTTCAACTAAATTGAAAATTAAATAGAAAGCATCTCACGTATGGTAGGGAAAATATTGACATTTCACACACAACTGTTAGATTTGATGCTTTCTGTCCAATTTTCAATTTGGTCAAAACCACAAGGAGTTATAGTGTAGATTTCCAAACCAGAGGGAATTAAATTGAACATTTATCAAATCACAGAAAGTTTTTTGGTATTTTACCCCCTTTTTTTTTTATTGGCAAAACCCTGGGCGGGGATGCCGGTCCTTGATTTTATTAGAATTAACCAACAAATACAAAGAGCTTAATGGTCAAAACTCCATGATACAATGCCACTAGTCTAAACCTTATCAGATTGCATACGTAGATGGGGGAATTCCCTACTATCTAATTGTAGAGAAGCCCTAACCTCTCCCGGGAGATGATGTAACACGGTACAGTAAAATTCAGTTGACAAACGCAAACCTGCTAGTTTATCTGACGTGGAATTCACCTCTCTAAGCACATGCGAGAGAGAGATGCCGTTAAAGAAGATGATTAATATGTCTCTGATTTTCCTCAATGTGTTGCACACTTGAAGGCTACCCTAGTGGAAATTAATCGCACCAGGCACTCCGAGCCAAATGGGTAGAAAATTAGGTGTTTGCCTCTTAATAATTATTTCTTTATTTTTTTTTTAAATATCGATCTCAGCATGATAAAGTTTGATATCTGAATTTGATGTTTAAGTATGTAATTATAGTGTTTAATTAGGTTTTAAAACTTCCTGATCTTTTCAATTTATCCAGGCGGCTTTAACAAAATTAATGCAGCAGCTCAAATGGTTGGATGTGGAGACTTAGAGATGAGAACTAATGGAAAATACTACTATGTATGATCGATTTTACAAAGTAAACAGATGGTCTAACTTAATAATCATGACATGACTAGTTTACCGTGATGTAATAACTCGAGGAAAAAAAAAAAAGTTAACAACCTTAATGTAAAGTTTAAACACTCCTGTCAATTCATCTAATGTGCGAAGTCGTAACCATAAGTTTCTTCATTTGCTTCCCTCGTCGATATCAAATACTCATTTTCCCCGAAGTTTTGATTAGAATGAACGAAATCTAATCAGCACGCAGCAGGAGACTCGCCCGCAAGTCATTCTAGCATTTCTGTTCAGGGACCCGGCGAGTTCAGCCTCAATTGTTGGGTTTCTGTTTGCAAAAACATCTCTTCTCGCTTCTAATGTAACTGGTTTATGCGCCCCGGGCCAAAATCCAACAAGAATTTAAGCATTCAGACAAGATAAGCTGGTTGGGTTTCCTTGAATTATGAAATGGAAAGGAGAAAAATAACAACCACATAGAAGAGTACATCTGGGATTCAACCCAAACTTCACAATACAAGGAAACAAGATCACAAGGCAAAAGCCTGACCTCTCAACAGGAAGAAAACACAAGGCTCCATATTTGAACATGCCGAGTCTCCTAGCAGAAACAAAATACCTATCCAACTCGTTTCTCCATCACTTTATTGGGCAGGAGATCCGTGGCCTTATTTTCTTCACAATAAACTTGTTGAAAAGAAAACTTGACATTAACAAAGATGCCGAACAAAAACAACCCAAAGACGGCATACCAGCTGAACGCTGTTGCCCAGAGCCAGGCGGCTAGGCTTTATTAACACAGAACAGAGAAGAAGGCACGCCAGGGGATAGAAGCTTCAGTTCCACCATTTTACAAGGTTCACTTGAAGAGCACAAGGCAAAGCTAGTAAACATGAATTCCTGCAAAATGTGATCCTTCAATTCCGTAGAAGATTATGCATTAACAAATAGATCCAAAAGTACAAGTTAGAACTGTTTCACCACCCTGTCAAAGAAGCACTTACAGAGCATGTTTACTCGGCCATCACTATTCTGGAGGATAAACAGTGAGCTTAATCGGGGTAGTCTTCTTGTCATATGGCCGCGCAATAATTTCCATTAATTGTTGTTGCACAATTCTCCGGGCAGAAGAAACTACTGAATCCTTGGCATATTCTAGGTCAATCATCTCAAGGTGTTTCATGTATACAAAGTCAGATGGGATCCGCACAAGTTTCTTGCACTGCTTGAGGACAAGGCACCTGAGTTGTGGGAAATTAGTGGCTTTAGCGTCCCAAGACTTTAAATTTGTAGACCCAATGAACAGAACTTTGAGACAACGAAATCCCCCTCCTTCTGTTTGCCAATCCTCTCCCATAAAAGCATTGTCTTTCAATTTGAGAACCTCAAGAAACCGAAGCTTTCCAAGTATAGGCATGTGAATTTGCCAATCTAGACTTGTATCCTGCAGACTCAACCTTGTTAATCTTGCTGGGAATTTGTGTACTGGAGGAAGAGCAAGCAGCTTGGAAGTTACTTCATCATTGCGTAACTTCAGATTCTCAAGGGAGACTAGTTCGCAGAGCATGTCAAACAAACGAGACTCACCATTGGCCTTCACAAGAGTGCCCAAGTTCCCACGTATACCAAGCTTCTTAAGTTTCTTAGTCCTCTCAAGCACATCATTTGTGAGACATTCAGGTGCAACAGTAGATAGAGTTTGTAGGTTTTCACTGCTAGAGCATTGCCTTGAACACTCGGGCAAGAGTGTGGAGGTATTGGTACGCAGATGCCTTAGCTTTGTCATTCCCCAAATGTCAGCTTCTATGCTGAGGGTCGGGTGAGTTGTGTAAACGATAAGAGTTTGCAAGTTTACCAGGCTGGACATCTTTCTGGGAAGGATTTGGAGCTCGCAACAGATGGCAATGAACTTTAGGAGAACAAGGTTAGGTAGTTGGGCTGGAAAACGACCAGGAAGCTTGACAGATAAAATATCCAACACTCGGAGTAGTTTGAAGTGCTTACATATATTAGAGCAAAGTTCCTTCTTCAACGTAGTTTCTTCCCCAAAGCTCAAGAATGAGCGGACTTTCTCTGCAGGCTGTTCTTTACGAACGTACGCTTCAAAGTGAGAGTTAATACAGGTAAGGCGACGGCCAGAAGATGGATTGGTGTCCGTGTGAACTTGTTGGAAAAGATTTTCTGCTCTAGCCATCTTCTTGCAGAAGTCACGCAGTGTGTCATGGATTATACATGTCTTAATCCGACCACTTAAAGTTCTCCTTCGCACCATCACTAAATTCCTGCCAACCAATTCCCTCAAACATAACTCTGCTATTTTTTCCATGCTTGCTCTCTCAGATTGGGGAATAAACCCCTCAGCGATCCACAATTGCAACAATTTCGACACGGGGATCTCCAAGTCTTCAGGGAAGACACCAAGGTACAGAAAACACGATTTGAGTATGTCAGGCAAGTTATCATAACTCCGTCTTATTAATTCATCAATCCTTTTTTGGTGGTTATTGTCAACTAACTCAGCTACACCGTTAAGCACATCTTCCCACCATGTAAGATCTTTTGGATGATTCCTAAGAATACCAGCGGTTACCACTATTGCCAGTGGTAGCCTGTCACACTTAGCGAGAATCTTCTTTTCAATGGATTCTAGTTCCTCTGGACATGTATTTTCGTCGAAAACCTTGATCCTCAGTAATTCTTCAGCCTCTTCTGCAAACATAAGCCGCAATTTATATGGTTTAGTCTTTGTTGCAACATAGTTGGCCACAGACTCGATTCGAGTAGTCACTAATACCCTGCTGCCCTTGCCGTTGTCAGGTAAAAATGTTTTGATATCCTCCCAAACATCATTTTGCCAAACATCATCCATGACAATCAAATACTTGTACTTCAATTCGTGT